GCTCAGTTTCTTCCCCTTGCTGTCCCCTCCCCCCAAACACCCACCCATGTGCTGTGCAGAGGTGTTGAGCACAATATATTCATCATTGTCTTCAAAGCATAAAGACTTTGTGAGGGTAGCCCACCCAATGCATTTTAGACAAGGGTAGGATCATGGTCTAGGTTTTCCCCTGGCTAACAGAGCGGGCCCTTCCAGGGTAGAATATATACTATACATGTTCAAAGAATGAAGCAGTGGCCATGTTACACTCATCTCTGTGCCCAAATATGGCATGATACCTGCCAGAGTTCCCAGTGAGGGAGCCACCCCCTAACTGCTTCCACTCTGGAGCTGTGTTTAAAGACTTACAATTGAGCCATTTTACCAAAGTAACCAAGATCTCATTCCTTTATTAAATCCAAAAGCTTAGGTGCTAGCTCTTATTCTGTTCTTAATTCCCACAGAAAGAAGCATTTCTGCCTAGTCTGTCCCAAGTGAGGCCTTTAGAAGGGCGCATTGCACGTTTACTCCGAGGACAACATCCCCATGAATCGGTTTTACAAGAACAAGATTACTTCAACATTCACACACCTCCACGTGCATGTACAGCTCATGCCTTCTTACCCCGTTACTCAGAAGTGATGCTGAGTAACCAAAAAGCAGAAGCAAATATGGGTCAACAATGTAAACACACAGAAACCAAGACCAAGAGAAGGGCTGAAGTCCAACTGCAGCTACTTCACCTACCTCAGGCATGGTACCAGAGAGAAGAGAGTCAGAATAAAAAGTTTCCAGTTAATAAATTTCAGAAAATCACCGATACATGGCAAACTGAGGCTTTATACAGAAGGCAGCTTGCAGTAAGACCTGAATCTGAACTTCCCTCCAATTCTGTGAATTCCTGTTACTATGAAGATTTGAAACCCAGCCGTTTGGACAACTATATAGTATGGCACAACCCAGTTAGCCTAAGCAAGCCTGGCTTATTGAATAATAGTAGAGAAGGTGGACATATTAAACACAAGCACAGTGCTCCAGAGGAAATCCTGTCTGCATTGAGTTTGGAGGGAAGTTCACCCAACAGGGCATTACCTGAATGGATTCCCAATTCTGGGGTGCCTCAGCCTCAGACAGCATTGCTGGAGCTTCAAGATTCTTTTTGTAAAACAGCAGCGCAGAAACGTTTTCATGATTCTATTAAAGGAGAAGCAAAGGACCTCAGAGAGAATATCTGGGAAGGAAAAAGGCACAGATTCTATGGCTTCAATTCTTTTTATTTCTATAACTGAGGTGTTCCTTTGTCCTTTTAAATATATCACAGCAAATAAAAAAAGGACGCAGTCAGACTCTCTCATTGTACTTTGTCATGTTCAAGATAGATTCATTCAAATGGTAGCAGGGCAGAGAAGGGCTACTAAGTTGATCAAGGGAACGGAGAAGCCTGTCGTGAGAGGAGACTAAAAGAGCCAACTTGTTTAGCCCAGCAGAATGAAGGCCGAAGGGATTTGGTTGCTGTCTGTAAATGTGTGAGGGAGGGAAAAGAGTTATTTAACCTGAAGAACAGTCTTGGCACAGGAACAGATGGGTATCTATAGGCCACAAATTAATGGTAAAAATGAAAAGATGTTTAACAATCAGAGCGGCAACATTCTGGAACAGCCTTTCAGTAGGAAAACAGCAGCAAAGTAAAACCCAGCGGCTTTCAGAGTGGAGGCCAGTAAGGTTATAGAAGAGATCGTCTAATGTGGTTACCTACAATAATAGAGGACTGGACTCAGTTCCCCAGAAGCCCTTTCTAGTGCTGCATTCTTACGTAGGATCTGATGTTTTCTGTGTTCTGTAGTTGACTCTCTTCTTTCAGTTTTGCTCTTAAAACAGTGAAAACATGCAGCACAGGACACAGGTCTGCATAAACAATTCAGAAGCGGTGACAAAACACAAAATTTAACTGTGGTGAAAAATGAGTGGACTGCATTTACACAAAAATTTTGATGGAGACTTAACACGAAATGGGTAAGCCACTAACAAAATTACAATTGGTCATTAAGAACCAATCTGAGAGGAAAATAAACAGCTAGTACAGCAACTGTCATTTAAAAATAATAGCTAAAGTTTATGTGCATTACCTCAGTTTTTGCAACACTTGAGAAAAATATAAAGGACCCAGGGTCTGAGATGGGGTTGTAGCAACAGTGTTGCTGTACAACCAGATTGTGCCTCTCCACCTTTTAGAATTCTTTGACTGTTAAAGAGGCTAAAGATGAATCACTAGATAAAGCCTGCTTAGAAATTAGAAAGCATAAGCCCTTCAAAATGAGGAAGCTACGGAGGAAATTTAGAGTACAGCTTTTGTCTGCAGGTTAAGCATAGGCAATGACATATAAACACAAAGAGTTGGACTTAGAGCTATTCCCACTGCAAAAAGAGGCTAATACCCTGAATGACTTAGGGCCTGAATGAATTGGAACTGGTATTATTCAGTTAGTATGTTAAGGAAATAGCCAGGTCAGGATTAGCAAAGTGGCAACATCCACTGATGACATAAACCTACTTAAGTATTTTTAATTAGTTATTTAAAGCAGGGGTTATTAAGTTAGAACCGTAGGAGGATATGGAGGGGAAGAAAAAGATTTTGCTCATTTAGTCTCCTAAATTGAAAGAGCATAAACCATCTCTTCTCCTCCACTTCCCCACAAGCAAGTACTTTGGTACAAATCCCAAGATCAGCAGGATGGTATCCACACAATGCATGATCCTGGGAGCATATATGGTCAAACAGTGCTAGGGAAATGCCACTGTGAAAACACACCCCACTTGCACACTCCCATTCCATGAATGCCACCTGCCAAAACAGTCAAGTAGCTACCTTTTGGCACATGCCCTGTGCCACTCTCCACCACAGAGAGTTCACTGCCTATTTAAGAGAGAGGAGAAATAATGTAGCGGTGGGGTTTGAGACTGCTTTCATAGATTGATTCATAGATTGTTAGGGGCTGGAAGGGGCCTTGTAGATTATTGGATCCAGTCCCCCTGCACCTAGGCAGGAAAAGACAACTGGGGACAAGTGACCCCAGTGAGGTGACTGTCCACTCTCCTTTTGAAGACTTCCAAGGTAGGTGACTGCACCACCACTGGAAGAAGTTTATTCCACAGCCTGGACACCCTGACTGTGAAGGAGTTTTTCCTGGAATTGAGCCTGAAGCGGCCTTCCAGGAGTTTGTATCCATTGCTCCTGGTCTTCCCCAGGGGTGCCCTGGTGAACAGCTGTTCACCAAGCTCTTGATGTACTCCTTGATGTAGCGGTAAGTTGCTACCAAGTCCCCTCTCAGCCTTCTCTTCTGCAGGCTGAAGAGGTTCAAGCCCCTTAGCCTCTCCTTGTATGGGTTGTCTTGCATGTCCCTGATCATACGTGTGGCTCTTCTCTGGACCCTCTCCAAGTTTTTCCACATCCTCGTTGAAGTGTGGCGCCCAGAACTGGACACAGTACTGCAGCTGCAGCCTCACCAGTGCTAAGTACAGTAGGAGTATCACATAGTTTTTCATGAGATGCAATGGTTAATGCATGCCAGTGTATTGTTTGCCCTGCTAGCCACAGCATTGCACTGCCAGCTCATGTTCATGCAATGGTTGATCACTACCACTACCCCTAAGTCACTTTCGGCCATGTTGCAAGTCAAATTGTTGCCACCAAGCCTGTAGGTATGTTGGGGATTGTTTGCTCCCAGATAGGGCACCTTACACTTCTGAGTGTTGAACTTCATCTGGTTCTGGTCTGCCCAGCTCTGCAGCCTGTCCAGGTCCACCTGTATCTGCAACCTATTTTCTGGCATGACCACACTCCCCCATAACTTGGTGTCGTCCACAAACTTGGCCAGTGAGCTTTTCACCCCCACATCTAAATCATTGATAAAGATGTTGAAAAGCACCAGTCCAAGCACGGACCCCTGACGGCCACCACTAGCCACCTCTCACCAGGACAACACCGATCCATTCATGAGAACTCTGGGTCCTACCATGCAGCCAGTTTTCCACCCAATGAACTGTTGAACAGTTAAGCCCGCAATCTTCCAATTTTTCCACAAGGATATCGTGGGATACTAAATCAAAAGCCTTTCGGAAGTCTAAGTATATAATGTTGACCTTCTTTCCTGTGTCCAGGTGGCAAGAGAAGGTCCTCTTCATAGAAGGAGATGAGATTGCTAAGACAAGACCTACCCACAACGAAGCCATGCTGGCTATCATTCAGAATCTTACCTTCAATGAGAGTATCGCACATAAATTCTTTCAAGTTTTTCCAGGATTTGCCCTGGGATGGAGGCTAGGCTGATTGGCCTGTAGTTGCCCAGGTGCTCCCTCTTATCCTTGAAGATGGGCACAATGTTGGCCCTCTTCCAATCCTCAGGGATTGCCCCTGTGTGCCACAATTTCTGAAAGAGTTTTGCCAGGGCTTCAGCAATGACCTCAGCCTTCTCCATCAGCACTCTTGGGCGAAGTCCATCTGGTCCTGCTGACTTAAATGTCTAGCTTTTCTAGTTGGTTTTGCACCAGCTCAGCATCCACAGTGGGAAGGCTATTGTTCCCACCATGCCCCCTGTGATCATTATCTTGCTTGTCTTTCCCCTTGGTCCAGTGAGATAACGAAAGCAGAGTAGGCATTCAGTTTTTTCTTGAGTGTCTGTTACCAACTGTCCCGAGGTGTTAAGCAGGGGGCCCACACTTCCATTTGTTTTCCTTCTGCTCTCCACATACCTAAAGAAGGACTTCTTATTGTACTTGACTCCCTTGGCTAACTTAAACTCAGTCACCACCTTAGCTATCCTAATCATTTCCCCACAAGTGCAGACCACTGTTGTATAGTCTTCCTTGAAGACTGTCCCTAGCTTCCACTGTGTGTACGCCTCTTTTTTCTTTTTCAAGAGGGCCGCAATGTCCCTATTGAGCCAGGAGGGCTTGTCAGCCCTTCTGCTACCTTTCCTCTTCATGGGAACGGTTTTCTTTTGTGCTTCAAGGATTGTGTCCTTCAGGAACAACCCCAGCACCCCTTTTGCCTTCCGTCCCTGGTCCTGCATCGCCTCCCTTGCTAATGCCCTGAGGCTGTTGAAGTTAGCATTTTTAAAGTCCAGGACTTCAATCCTGCTAGTTGATTTATCCACCTTGCAGCAGACAGTGAACCCAATGAGCACATGGTCACTGTCGCCCAGGCTACCCTCAGTGTTCAAGCCACACACCAGATCAAGCCACACACCTTTGGCCAAGACCAAGTCTAGGAAAGCAGTACCTCTGGTTGGCTCTTGCACTTTCTGGGTCAGAAAGAGCTCCTCGATTAGTTAAGAAACTACATGACCGATCTGACCTAGCTGAGTGTTCCTCCCGATCTATGTCTGGGTAACTGATGTAGACCATGACAACCAACTCCCTTGCACATGCGGCCTCTGTCAGTTCTTGAGAGAACTCCAAATCAAGCTCCTCCCCTTGGTTCGGTGGCCTGTAGTAAACACCCACAGTTAGGTCTCTTTCACCTTGCCCCTTCCCTCCCCCCCATCCCTGCCAAAGCTTAACCCAGAGGGTTTCAAGCTGCTTATCTTTGGAGCCAATGTCAACCTCCAGAAAGGTGTACTGCTCCCTCACATAGAGAACTACCCCACCTTTTCTCCCTGCTCAGTCCCTTCTGTGCAGGATGTAGCCCTGTACAGCTATGCTTCAATCATGTGAGGAGTACCATGAGGTCTCCATAACCTCTACCAGGTCGTATTGCCCACTAGAAAGCAGGAGGGCTAGCTCTTCCTGCTTGTTCCCTATGCTCATGGCATTGGTGTACAGGCAGCTGAGGCCCCCAGCTTTGTCCATAGTGGAGGAAGATCACAGATTGTTTGCACATAGATCTCCAGAATGTGATCAGGCCCTTGGCTATTAAGACTAGAGGATTACTGAATCTTTAATTAAGACAATGAAGAGTATGAGGAACTCCTGGAGGACATAGTACTCCAACTATGCAGCACAGTAACAGGCTCAATTTAACTGAGATGTACAAAATAATGCTCTCAGCAAGGTACAGTTTGAATATCTAGGACTCTAATAGGTTCTAAATTAACTGTAACCTCTCAGAGAGAAAAATTAGAAGTCAGTGAAGAGTTCCACTCAATAAATAGCAGCATTCAAAAGAAATGTTAAACTTTAGGGAATACAGATTATTAGGTTATCACAGAACTCAGTATTTATTACCAGTTTTCATCACATTTCACAAGCAACATACTAGAAACTAAAAAGCTCTGAGAAAAGGATAATGAATATAAGAATCAATAGGGATGTTTACATACAAGAAGAGATTTTAAAAGACTAGGAGTGTTCCTTGAGAACTAAGAGGAGGAGAAATTGCAGTTCAGTAAAAGGCATATAATGTACTTAATGTAGAAAAGGCCTACCAGGAAATCCAATGGTAAATTCTCACTCCCAAAACAAATACAAGACCTTTTGCTTGTATAATTAATCATCTCAAAGGTATGTAGCCTTTTTTACTTGTTTAGCATGCTGCTTGGGATATAAAGACAAAGAGTTTAGTACTATTCAAAACAGATTAGACACAAATCCTAGGAGCATAAGAACAGCATATTCAGTTCTAGTAGATGGAATAAACAAACTGGAGTGCAGTCAGCCCTTATGATACAGGCTGCTTACAGGCAGCTCTAAGGACCCACTAAAAAACATCCAGCAATTGACAGCTGACCACCGCCAAAGACAAGACTGGACCATTGGTCTGTTCAGCTATAGCTGTTTCCAAGTTCTTAGAGTCACAAGATAAGCAGTTAATCCTGGAGTCATAGCATTAAAATATGACTGTAAAACTACCTACTGGGTAATTATATGGTAATAAATGTCTTGTGCACCAAACTGTGGAACTCACATAGCAGCAAGGATTTTTCCTCAGCAAGAAATCCTGAGCAGACATCGAGGCCTCTCCACTGTTGCTAGCATCTGTAACTTCTGTGCTATCCCTCTGTGAGGGAGAATGGCGTGTAGATCTGTCACTGTTACTTTGAAATTCACATTCCAGTATTGAACACTGCAGTAACGTTTATGTGGTTGCACTGATGCTGGATATCTGGCATTCTTCCAGCTGCCCTTCCACACTGCCTTGTTCCTGTCTGGACTGGCCTGTGCATGTCCTCTATTGTTCTGGTGTCACTGGGATGTCGCCTTCTTTTGGCCTTCTTCCACGTTCAGCCCATTTACACTTTATGATCCATACATCCACACACCCAGCAGTTTGTTCTAGCCCTGTGCTACTCCCCCATATCATGCATACACCGGGATCCTTGCCAAGGGCTAAGTTCAAAGACACCACCTTTACCTACCCATTTTGTGCAGTTCTGTCCTAAAACCTTTGCATGCTAAAATATTCCCTTCACCTCTCCAGCTCCAAGAACCAGGAATTCCATTGCCCCAAGACAAGAACAGTGAATACAAGGGGAACTCATTAGCTCCCTCACCTGCCCTGCTAGCACCATTCCACAGGCCAAAATACTACTATGTATATACATACCAGTCCATACAGGCCCTCAGGAATTTTCCAGCTGAATAGTTTTTCATTGGAGAACATCAGTTTGTTAAGAGAAATATAAGGCAACCTTTATTTTCAGAAATGTGCATGTTTCAGTGGAATTTTCATCAGGAAACGTTTTTCTGGTCCAGGATGGACTTTCTAGGCAGGAGAGATCCAACACAAAATGGGTAACAAGAGATGAAAAAAACTATTATATGCATGAGAAAAGATAACTATTTCACGTTTCTGTTTTAACATTTCCTGATAATGCATTTGTTACTATTCTTTTTAGATGTCACCTTCATTAGGTGCCATATTCCATAAAAGTTCTCTCTAGGTTCCTCTGCAGACCTTTGTATAGTGTCAGAGTACTTAACACTCTTTAATTTGTCCTCAGCCCTTCTGGGAGGTAGAGACGCAATCCTCTCTCCATTTTACAATGGCTAGTCCCAAAACCAGAGACCTAACAAGCAGGGTTTGGTATAATAATTGTGTGCACGGATGGGGTGGAGGGGGTACAGTTCCAAGAAGGGGGGGGGGCCGCATGCAGGAGTCTCACCCAAAACAGTTCCTGGCTGCTGGTGCTGCCCCATGTTTTGCCCAGCACAGCTCTTGCTCTTGAAACAGCAGCACTGCAGCATATGTGCACTGGCTGCTGCTGCAAGAGCAACAGTGTGATGCTGCTCTTGCCAGGGTGCAGACTCCACAGGTAGGGGATGATTTTAGCACCTAAGTTGCTGCCAGGAGCTAGTGCCTTTCTCATCCACCTCTAGTTTTGCCACTGCTCAAAAGCTCCATGACTAATGCCCAGACCCTCAAAGCTATTCAGATGCCAACATCTCAGTGATTTCAGTCAGAGGTAAGCACCCTTGAGGATCTGGGCCTAAGTCACAGTGGGGGTGGGAGATGTGTGCGGCAAACTGAAAAAGGAGCTTGTGTCTCCTGAGTCCCTGTCTGGTTCCCCAAGGCCATTTCCTCATCCCTTCTCTCCATGGGTAAGTTTAAAAGAACTCTGATCATATGGGTATTTTTTCATCCTTTTTAGAGATGAGCCCACACATTTTTTTTCTTCAAAAAAATTATTTTGCTGCTCAAAGCAACACTCCTGCTGTGGGATGGCTGGAGGTGGGGGAAAAGAGCTAAGCAGAGCACTTTTCCAATCTAGTAAAGAAAATTATTGGAGAATGAGAACATCCCAAATGACTGGATATCAGGAAAAAATTGTCCACTGTTGAAACAGTGAGGTAGTGGAATAGACTGCCTAGGGAAGTCGGGGACTATTAATGGTAGTGCTCGAGAGGTTGGGCAGCCACACAGCAGGGATGGTGTAGCCATGCCTTAGTCTACGGTGGGTATTTCCCATGCTTCTGGGCTTTGCTGGTTGCCCCTGCAGCTGGGAGGAAATCCTGCTGTCAAAACCACCCCACCCCCCATGTGTCAGGTGTTTCCTGGTTTCTTTAAGTCTCTCTCCGAGGCACTGGGTGTTGGCTGCAGCAAGCCAAGGCTGGGGACTTTGACTGGGGTGTGCCATTCAGGGTCAGAATGATTGCCAGATTGGGGTCAGGAAGGAATTTTACCCCATGGTCAGATTGACAGAGACTGGGGTGGGCAGACTTCTTGTGCCTATACTGACATTTCATAGTGGGCTGGGGTGGTTCCCCTGCTTTACTCGTGGCAGGTTCGGGCTAGCTCTGCCTTGTCAGGGCTGAGGGCGGTTGTACTGTGGAGTGGCGGGATTAATCAGCAGAGGATGGCCGGACCAAGGTCGCTCCTGCCCCAAGCCAGGCAGGGGCTGGGCTGGGTGACCTCTTCTCGCCCCACTGTTCCACCGCTTCCACGAGCGCTCGTGCGGGAGCAGCTTCCTCAGCAAGGTGCAGCGGCTCCTGGTCATGACTGGAGGAAATGAACCACGCCATGGGGGTTGGACACGCGACACCCGCCAAAGGCGCCTTTTGCTACGGACCCGGGCCCGCGAATCTGCCCGGGGTCTTCACCCGCGTACATGGATTTCCCGCTTGCGTCACTGCCGGAACCACCACGTAACTTCCGCCCCTTTCTATTCGCCGCTAAACCTTGCTTCGCCTTCCATTCTGCGCATGTGCGAAAGACATTTTTGCTCCCTCCCTCGTGACTTTCTGGCCGGAACTTGTGCGCCATGACGCACGGAGGATGAGGCGGGGCCCGACGTGCCTTTGAATTAAATCTACCCTGCTAGTCTTTATTCGTGACGTTTCTCTTGACGGAACACCGCTGTACGCTTATCAACGCGCCCAGGCTGGCAAGCGATTGGCCGGCGCTCTGGGGTGGGCGGGGCAAGTACCGGCGCGGTTCGGTTGCAGAGGCACCGGCTTACATAGGCTGGAGTACGGCGTGTCCTTGGGGTCAGGTGTTGGGACGCTGAGACTAGGGATCGCTTGTACGCGGGCAGCTCTAGGGGCCGGCAGGTAGGCGTGCGGGAGCGGGGTGCAGGAGGGGGGTGCTGGCTTTTACCCACCCTGCCGGGGCTGGAGTGGCGGGAAGCGGCGCCCTTGGCGCGTGGCCGGGACTGGCGGTCAGGGCCCCGGAGCGGAAGTATGACCTTGGTTTCGCCGCTGTTTTGCAGCATCGAGCATGGGGGATGTAGAGAAAGGCAAGAAGATCTTTGTGCAGAAGTGTGCGCAGTGCCATACTGTGGAGAAGGGCGGCAAGCACAAAACTGGGCCCAACCTGCACGGCCTGTTCGGGCGCAAGACTGGGCAGGCACCCGGCTTCTCCTACACGGAGGCCAACAAGAACAAAGGTGAGCGAGCACTGCTCCTGCACGGCTCTGTCCCGGCTGTGCCACAGCAGTGGGTTCCAGTGGTGACATCGCGCTCCAGCAAAGCGACCCTGACCTGGCCTGGCCTGGCCCTTGTGCCACTGGCATTTGGTCTGAAGAAAACATGAACTGCTTCTTCCCAGCCATTTGCTGCACTCGGGGGTGTAATGTGTTCAGCAGGTGACATTGCCAGTAACTCCTTTTTTTTTTTAACTCTTAGGTATTACCTGGGATGAGGACACCCTGATGGAGTACCTGGAAAACCCCAAGAAGTACATCCCAGGGACAAAGATGATCTTTGCTGGCATTAAGAAGAAGCCGGAGAGGGCAGACTTGATAGCATACCTGAAAGATGCCACTGCTAACTAATTGTGACCTGCTGCCTTATTTATTTCACAAGGGAGGTGGAAATGAAAGTGTCTCCCAGATTTGGGTTTTTAAACTTTCTATTTTTACATGTACTGTGTTTAACTTTGCATCTGTCTCATCAGCCAGTTCATGTGGCTCATGAGGGTGGTTGGAGTACACACTTGTTTGGCAGTTGTTACTTCAGGCAGTGCATGTAAACTGAATTGGGCTTGAATGAGTACAATCATGTTCTATGTGTTTGTAGTCATTCTGGATAATGCAATTAAAAAACAAAAATCTCATGGTTTTTTTTCCTGTTTCTTCATTATAAAGAATGGTCAAGAAGACCTTTTAGTCAGTCTCATCGTGGTCTTGGCAGCCAAATTCTTGAGTGTTGGGAAGGAAGATGAGGGGCCTTCACTCCAGCTTTGTAATAGTCCCCTCTTCTTTCTAATTTACTGCCCCTTCTTTGCCATACCTCTTCCACAAAGAACATCAGAAAGAATCTAGTTGAAGTGATAGCAACAATACTTTAACATGCCTAAATCTTTACAACTATCAATGCAACTTCTAAAGTGAAGGGAAGGGAGAACAAAATGAAGTTAGGGTGGAAGGGAAAGGCGGGGAAGGTCACCTGGGGAGGCAGGTCCTGACTTGATTGTTTAGTGCCTCTCAAAATGGCCAACTACTTCCTCTTCTTTCATAAGGATGATAAAGGATTTTTATCTTGCTTATGCAGTCTTTCTAATAGTCTTGTTCATTAGTAGAGCATATGCTCTTTCTTCAGAAACTTTTTAATAATCACTGAAATGTTCTCACCCAAGAAATAAAAGCTTTTGCTTGCAATATGATTCTCTAAAAAGGGAATTTTACGTTGAAACTGCTCATTGGGTCCTCCTTTTAGTCACTAACCATCCTTTTCTGAAAGAATTAAGTACCATGGTTGGTGGTACGGTAAGGAATTCAAGCGAGTTGACATCATCTACTCTAAAAACTTAACTTGAAACTGATTATGGAGTCTAATCTTAATACTGTTAAAACCACTACTTTGTTGGCTGGAGGCAATTTTTGTTTAAGAAAAATAAATTTACAATGCTAGGATTGAAGAAGGAAATTCTTCCTCTATGCCTCACTTCCGTTAAAGCTCTTATTTGTTCATTTCTAACATTCATAATGTAAAATAGAATTGAAAAGTTTCTCTTACTTTTTTCCATAGCCACAATGAACTTGTGAGGATGAATATATTTACTGTGCATCACTAATAAGAGAGACAACTTCAGTAGTGATCAATTATACATTTTTAAAAAAAATCTTCAAAACAAAACTTGTTTAATGTGTTTATTAACTGAGAAATGATTCCCCCTTTCCTCAACTGAAGCTGATGTGCTATAGTATGAAATTTGGGGTGCAAGGATGAATGATAAGAGGGGGGTAGTTTCTGTTTCTTCATACCAAACCCATGCTAGTATATATGACTGAATTTCAAAAGGTTATAGTGATATTAGAGAAGCCAGACACTTTTGCTTTTAATTTTATTTATATTTGGTTCTACACACTACTCTTTCAACCATAAATAAGTTAGTTGGTTGTCTTTGGGGGTGGGGGTTGGCTTACACCTGCTTTCCCTCCCCCCTGCACCCCCACCCCCAAAATATTTAAAATCTTGAAGTTGGTGACAGGCTTAAGTTGTCTAAACTCTGATAGCACTCTACAGCTAGTTCTAATTTTAAATGTAATTATTACTTTAACAGTGATCTAACACTTCACAATTGCTAAAAATGAGACAGATTAAATAAGGAGGAGAAGAAATGAACTACTGTCTCATACATTCTCCTACTGGTTAGTACTTTGTTTCTAATTATAAAATGGGTACAGGTAAGATTTCTGACTTGGGGAAGTGTGGCAGTGCTTAAGTTGATGCCAGAAAGCTTCAGGTAGAAGTAACATGCTTCTAATTGACAACAAAACTTTTGATAACAGTTGACAGGGATTGCTTGCTGCTTATAAAACATGAACACAAGCTGATGGTTGATATTGGTGGGGGGGGAATAGCTACCACCTGCTGGTACCACTTTCAAAGTGTTATGACTCCACCCTACCTGTTATATTCATGTCAGCTTTCATCACGTTTCTGAAACCAGTGTAGTTGTACTTGGGTGTAGGCAGCTTTTTAATTGTTCTCCTGGACCTGGTATCAGAGGTGCCTATCAACCAATTGGGAAGCTAGTTCAGACAATCTCTAAAGAAAGGTACTGAGGCGACTTATTCAGGGATCTATAAGATACCTGCTTCTACTATCTACTCTGGGTGACCAAATATTTGGTAAGTTCTAATGTTCATTTTCAGTGGTCCAGCCATGTTGGCTTGTTTTTTTTCTTCACGAGCCTTCTCTCGGTATTCACTGCTGATTTATAGTGTTCCCCATTCTGTTTTGTACATGTTTGTATTTAGGACTTTCAGGGAGGAGGGAGGCTTATTGTCCCATTAATACTTCTAAGATTGCAAGCAAATTCTCACTTAGAATAGAAGGTAGCAGCAATACTGTCTATATCGGCCTGATGTGGCCAATTTCCAGTATAGTTAACTTTCTTTATATTGGTGCTGATCTGATATCTGACCAATGGTATCAGTGCACATCTATCCATCCAATAATGTTGGATAAATACTTCATCTCTAGCATTTCTGCTATATGGATCAGCAATGAAAACATCTAGCACTCTTGACAACTGAGGTGTCACTAGATTCAACCTATACCCACTGAGATGGATGTAAACATGGATAACTCTGTTTTTCTACAGTATAGTGTCAGGCCTTGTTTACTACTTCTCAAGTATGAGAGCTGGGGGTTTGGTTTGGCTTTGTTTTTAACCTCTCTGAAAAATAGTTTAGGTCCTGAAGCACAGAGGGAGTTTATTTCAAAAACCATGCAGATGGATAGATAATATTCTTATCTATCCATCTTATTTAATATTTAGCAGTCTGTGCTAATTCACTAACATTTAATTGTTTACCCATTCTTCTAATGGCTAGCTAATGTGAGTTCCTTTCAGAAGAGCCTATCTTATTGCAACTAGATTAATCAACATTTAATGCATTCCAGTATTGCTTCTGTCTTTAAGGTCTTGTGTGGGATTATCACATATTCTCCTTAGTATAAAATCTAGCATGGAGGAGCCAAAAGAAATGTATTGCTGTAATTTAATTTATTTCTGTCCTATGCAATGTGAATTTGCCTGAACCTATCAGGAATTTCAAAGCCAGAAGGACCATTAGATTATCAAGTCTGAGCTCCTGTGATTCAAAAGGCCATCTAGTTTAAGTTCATCTCATTATGTCTATATTGAGCCCCATTAGTTGTGTTTGACTGAAGCACAGAGAGCGATCCAGAAATAGATCTAATACAAGATTTAGGTACTTGCAAGTTAAACATTAAACTCCTGAAATAGAAGCCAGAGGCTTGGCTTTGTTATCTAAGTTCATAGTTGGTAGAGTCCAAAGGGACCTAAGTAGATCATCAAGTCCAACTCCCTGCCATGGGCAGGAAAGGATGCTGGGGTCAAACGACCCCGGCTAATTGATTGTCTAGCCTCCTTTTGAAGACCCCCAGGGTAGAAGCCAGCATCACTTCCCTTGGAAGTTGGTTCCAGCTCCTAGCCACCCTGACCATGAAGTAGCGCCTTCTGGTATCTAGCCTGAATCTACACTGTGCCAGCTTGTGACCATTATTTCTTGTCACTTCTGGTAGTGCACGGGAGAACAGGGACTTCCCCAGTGCCTGCTGGTCCCCTCTGAATAGTTTGTAACAGGCCAATAGATCCCGCCTCAGCCTTCTCTTGTGGAGGCTGAATAGGTTCAGGTCCCATAGCCTCTCCTCATAGGGTCTGCCCTGCTGCCCCCTGATCATGCGAGTGGCCCTCCTCTGGACCCTCTCTATGATGTCCACATCCCTCCGAAAGTGTGGCACCCAGAACTAGATGCAGTACTCCAACTGCAGTCTGACCAGTGCCACATAGAGGGGGAGGATCACCTCCTTGGACCTGCTCATGATGCATCTATGGATGCAGGACATGGTGCGGTTGGCCTTCCTGACTGCGTCCCCACATTGGCAGCCCATGTTCATTGTGGAATCAATAGTGACTCCAAGATCCTTTTCTGCCTCTGCTGACAAGAAGGGAGTTCCCCAACCTGTAGGTATTGTGCTGGTTCTTCCTCCCCAGGTGCATCACCTCGCACTTGTCAGTGTTGAAACCCATTCTATTCTCATCTGCCAACCTCTGTAACCTGTACAGATCTAGTTGTTGCCTGTCCCTCTCTTCCAGCGTGCTCACTTCTCCCCATATCTTGGTGTCCATCTGTAAACTTGAACAAGGTGCTTTTCACCCCCACTTCCAAGTCGCCAATGAAGATATTGAACAGTGCGGGCCTGACAACTGAGCCCTGGGGAACCTCACTGCCCACATCCCTCCAGGTTGAAAATGACCCATCCACTACCACCCTCTGGGTGCGGCCCTCCAGCCAGTTGG